CTTGCTAAATATGTTCAAGTTTACCCTGCAAAGTTTGTTCTAGGTTACTGCTCAATTTACATATTCATGCAGACATTTATGATTCCTGGGACAATTTTCATGTCCTTACTAGCTGGACCACTCTTTGGTGTCAAAGGCACTTTTTTGGTTGTCTTTAATGCCACAGCTGGTGCATCTTGCTGCTATTTTCTATCTAAACTTATTGGCAAGCCTATTGTTACTTGGTTATGGCCTGAGAGATTGAGATATTTCCAGGCTGAGGTACCTATATTTTTTATTCTTCTTTTTCATTTTGTTATAATTTAAAAACTGTCATTTGCTTCATTTCTAGATGGACATCATATCTTTAGCACTTCACCTGTTTCAGATAGCAAAGCGGAGAGAGAAGTTGATTAATTACATGCTCTTTTTGAAAGTTACCCCAACATTACCAAATCTTTTTATCAATCTGGCATCACCTATTGTGGATATACCATTTCATATTTTCTTTCTGGCAACTGTTATTGGTCTTATTCCAGCGTCCTACATTACAGTTAGGGTAAGAATCTGACCTTTCATTCTTAAGTTCTTTAATCTTCTTTTTGGGCATTGGTATTGCTGAAGTAAGAATAAGTGTCTAGCGTGTTCATCCCTGCAATTGTTCATATTGCCTCATCTTTTGTTTCAGGCTGGACTTGCTCTTGGAGATCTAAAATCATTCAAAGATCTATATGATGTTAAAACCTTGGTGTTGCTTTTCCTCATTGGGTCTCTTTTATTAGTTCCAACCCTTTTGAAGAGGAAACGCATATATGAATGGGATGTTATGAGCTTCCACACATCTTTATGGAGATGGAGCACGAGATGATTTAACTTCTCACTGTACTTGCATTTTTATAACCAGGCCCCCGAGGATGCAGGACCATGTTTCTACACTGCTGCTGAGTGCTCAAAAAGTAATTTACTTTTGCTTGTGATACACGAGTTTGCTCAATCACTCTACTACAGCTCAAAGACAGCAATTCATTTTTTATTCAAATTTATGTTTTTGGATTAAGTCACATCCTTCCTGGGTTTTATCTAAAATCATGTGACAGAAATCCTGGGTAGGGATGATACAATTATGTAAATATAGAATTTGTTTCAAATATCAGTATAGCATCACGGAGAAGTTATTTAAGTGATATAATATGAGATCTCTTTAATGGTGATGTACAATATTGTGAAAGTTCATTCTCCTCTGCTGTTGGAAAAGTATGAGAAATTGCTTTAGTTCCAAGTTGTTCTCTATATAAATTGTACTATGCTTAAGTATGACTCCTAGTTTGCTTTTCATTATGTGATTGGTTAATTTTTTCGGCTGGTTGCCTTATCCTTCAAGAATTATCTTATGTATTAATTATATTGTCGTATGATCTTTAATGCCCTGTTTTTTAATCTAAGGTTTAGCCAAGTCTTGTCTTGGAGAAATAACTGGGTGAGGCTATGGCATGTGCTATCCTGAATATTTATATTTATAGTCGAAAAGTTTAGGATTCCCATTTCTATTGTTGGCTTCGGTAAAAAA